ACCTACCTCCCCGCGCTTCCAGAGGGGGCTCGCAGAGCTGAGGACGCGCCCGCCCTGCTCAAGGTCTCTCCCTCGCTCCCTCCGTACCGGCACCTGACGCGGGTGCCAAGGGGCTCCGGGCACCTTTCTGTGTCCCTTCCCTCGATCAACCGCGACTCCGCAACCCAGCCGCTGCCGCTGCGGCCACCGCCCGAGGGGACCTACGGACAGGACGCGGGCAGGAGGAGGGGTGCGCAGCGCCCGCGCGGTGTCCCCTCCAGGGCACAGCGAGACCCAGGCCTCGGGGCCGGGAGTCCCTGGCCGCCTCACCAGGTGCTCGAGACGGAAGTTTTTGGAGAGGGAGTCCAACTCTTCAAGGTAACTGTCACCTTCCCCTCTGGGAAAGGCTCTCCCCGGCGTCGGGAGAGGTGATGAGGTACGCGCCTCGGGGCTGGGGACTGCGCGCCCTCGGTCTTCCCGCTGGGGCTCCGCACGTCCCCAGCAGCATCCACAGAAGAGTTGAGCAAACTTTTCGGCTCCTGCGGCCTCAGAGTGAATGGGGTTGAGGAATTCAGGAGGAGGGGCTCTTGTCTCCTCGAACCTGAATGAAGGAACAAGGAGCTTTCTCCACACTCCCGTGTGCGTTCAGGTCCTGGGGCGGGAGGATATAGGGATGTGCAGTACATCCCTATGGTCAAAGAAAAGTGAGTTCAAATCCTCGCGGGGCCTTTTTGGGTCTGGTGCAGACTTCAGGTTACTGAGTCTGTCACCTGGGAATGGGGACTCCTCCACGGTGGCGGAAGGAATCCACGAAATGATGTGGACCGCAAGCCAGGTACGCAGCAGGTGCCTGAGCGGGAAACCCACGTCCTTCACCTCTTCGCTCAGTGCAGGGGTCACTGGGCATCTGAAGAAGTGGGGAAGGGCTGGGAGGAAACTGGCCGAACCTGGGACAGGGCAGCTCAAGACCAGGCCAGCGCTCCAAACATGCCCGTGTCCACCAAAAGAGCAGGGCAGATGGGGATGCAGACCAGGGCCACTTTTTTCCATTCGGGGTTCCTCTAAAATGAAGCTGAGGATAGTGGAGCAGGAGCCCTTGCCAACTCTGGGGGCGGGTAGGAAGCTGTCACTATGTCAACTCAACCTACATTCTAGGCCAGAGCAAGCTCCAGGAGGGTGGTGGTTTGTCTCCAGGTGAGAGACAGGCTCCAACCCAAACTTTTCCACCGTTATCCTCCTTGCCATCCTGAAGGTGGGGGTTCCAATGGGGTTTCCTCCCGAATCAGCTCAGCACCCTGCATGCTGATTGATGTGTGACTCCAGGTTCTGTGGGGGCAGCTGTCAGGAGGCACAGGGGGCGGTGCGTGGGGTGCTTCGGGCCCTGGTGTAGCAGTGGGTGCAGTTTAGGAACCACTGGGCTTTGGAAGCACAGCTGTCTCTTCTCATCCCGTGAGGAAGGCGAGGGAACTCATGAAGGTGGATGACTTTCTGAACATGTGACTTAGGGGCAGACACGACTGGAGTCTGGGTTTCCTGAGCCTAGAGCCAGATCCTCCTCCTGACTGCAGAGTCTAGAAGTTTTCTGGACTCTGTCTTTATCTCTCTTCCTGGCCTTCTGGTTGCTGTGGACAAGGACCAGTCCAGTTACCTGTGTGCCCTTGGCAGCATGGTTTCTGAGGAGCTGTGCAGATAGATGTGGGGTGTTGGCCTGTGGACCTCGGAGCCCAGGAACTGAGGGGCAATGGGAAGAGACCTGCCCCCAGCTTGACAAGGGTGGAAGTAGTGGGTGGGGGGGTGTTTCTAATTTGAAAGACAAAATATAGAAAAAGTTTAATGAAGGGACTATCAGAAAGAACAAAATACTGGACATTCCAAGATGCTGGAATTTTTCGAGCTGTGCTTAATGTTGATACATTTATGTGTAGTTTCTAGCACCAGCGCCCAATAAGATAGTCATTCATTCATTCTCCAGTACCTCCTGAGTGCCACCCAGGTGCCAGGCTCTGTGCTTCTCATGGGTACTCGGTACACAGTAGATGGGGCGACCCGAGCAAAACACTTAGCTCAGTGCCCACAACCGGGCAAAGACTCAGTACCTGTTTGATACTGTTATTAATATTAAGTAGTTTTCCTGTTCCTAAAATTTTCCATGAAAATCATCCTTACATAATCATACTTACATTGGAATTCTCTCCTTAATGTTTGAAAGCCCTCGTTACACCCTGCCCGACTTGCTGCCTGCTCAGGCACGCACTCCCATCCCAGGAGCCCCCAACCTGCATGCTAGGGGGCTCACTCTGTCCCCACCTGCCCGCTCCAGGCTGCAGAAGGAGCTCCAGGAGTACATGGTGCACAAGGCAGACTCCAGTTCAAATCCCAGCACAGCCACTCGGTGACCCAGTGGCCTTGATGAGATTACTGAGTCTCCTTGAGGCTGAGGTTCCTTTTCTCTAAAAAAAAAAAGGAGAAAAACCTCCAGAAATGGATTTTTGCAAGGATCAAAAGACATAAGCTGGGCACAGTGGCATGCCTGTAACCTCAGCACACCCAGGCTGAGCAGGAGGCTGGGCAGGAGGATCGCAAGTTCAAGGGTTATACATAGGGAGACTGTCTCAAAAAAGCGAGACATAATGTGGGTGCTTTGTCCTGCCTTCAGGGGGCCCCACAAACCTGGATTCTTCAGCTGGGACAGCTCCCAGGCCCCACTGGGGTCACAGGCTGTGAATTCAGGATAGTACATGTTTGGAGTGTTCTCTTAGCCACAGACTGTATTCCAGCTTTGAGTGTGGGGAAGCCCACGGGCCTCTGCATGGAGTCTCACTTTCAGTCTATCTCTGTCTGCAGGTACATCTGGGACACGGTCTGTCCCACTGTTGCCTGTGACATGGATTTAGTGGGACTTTTAATAAAATAGGAAAAACAAATAAACTTGTAGTGCCTCCCATGTAGCTAAGGGCAAAATTTCTGGACATTTTTATTCCCTGTTGTGTATTTTACAGCTCTCTTCAAGGGTATGGGTGTCCATAATATATGTATATATGCAAATGTATACAAATTTAATATTTGCATAATGTGTTTCTTGCTGCAAGTTGTGGTCAGAAAAGTTTGGAAGACACTAGTCTCATGATGCTAGTCCTGTCTCTGGGAAGTTCCTGCCTTGTGGCTCCAGGTGGCAGGCACTGGGGTGCCCTTGCTGCAGCCGTACCAACACCTGGCCTGACCCTTAGTATCTGGGAGTGAACACAGCTCGGGGTGGAAGCCTGGGCTAGGGATGAAATGCAAATTCAAGGAAGATGACTCAGATAGGAATCAAGGTGGTGGTGGTGGGGTCTCTGCTTACAAGGGGCAGTGGGGAAGGGTCAGCTGAGTGCTGTTCTAGGAAGGGGTCTGAGGGTAGAAGCACGTCTTCTCACTGTCTCTGCATCTGTCCCCTTCCTGTGAAAGGGTCCAGGCACAGTGTAGGGCTGGAGAGGGAGCAGCAGTGCAGTAAGAGGACCAGAGAGAAGGAGAATTTGTAGGGAGACCGGTAAAACAGTTCCTTTTTTCAAAAGTTGAATCTAGGGCAAGAACGGAAATGCTTGAGTTTACTTTTAAAAACTCAGAGCCTCCTTGTAAGCAGCGAAGTATATGTGTGTGTGTGTGTGTGCACGCCCATGCATGTGTGTGTGTGTGTGTGTGTGTGTGTGTGTATGCACTGGAGGGCGGGCCCTGTGGGCTGGCTGGGGTATGTAAGAGGCAACTTTGCTCACTCTCAATGGCCTTACAGTATACCCTAAAGAAGCTTTTTGTTAAACTCATGAATAGGTGGATTTGGGGTGTGTGATGCTGGGCATCACGATTTGGCTATTTGGTTACCTTTGAGGTTACATGTTTTTCCTTTTAAGATGTCCGTCCAAAAAAGGAGCCACGTCTCTGACTTTGCCGAGAGGGGCTGCTTGTCTCACTAACTGATTTGATTTGAGGGACAAGGGTAAGAAAGACAAAGGACAGGGCAGATCTGCAGTCCGTGGCCTGGGACAACCCCTTGGCCTCTGGCTGTACCCAGGTCAGACACCCCGCATCTCAGGGCCTGTGATGACCCTCATTTCAGAGTTCACAAGGGGTCCTGAGACTAGAGAATGGAAAAACCGTACCCCAGGCCAGCCCAGAGCAGATTGCGTTGGGGCTGTGTGAATCTAGATGTTCAGACCTTCATCCTAGAACATCCCACATCCACAAGGATCATTCATTCATTCATTCATTCATTCATTCATCACTTAGCAGTACTAGCTATTCACCAGGCATTATGATGGGTGTGCTGTACACAGCAGGGATAAACTAGTTCATTCTTCCTGCCTTTTGCCTCTGTGTTCTCACCATCTAAAGTGAGGAAGGGCTGTGATCGACTTAACCCTGACCCTTCTTTTTCTATAAAGCAGTTGTTCTCAGTTGGGGGTTCCTTTGCCTCCTGGGGAACTTAAGGCTCTGTCTGAAGGCATTTTTTTTTCATTTCTCGCTGTGACCATGTTGGGGACAGGGCATGTTAGCACGTAGTGGAGACAAACTGGGAAACTGCCAAACATCTCCAGTTGGAGAGGACACCCCATACACAAGCGCACACAGAGAGAATCATGCAGCCCCAAAGGCCAGTCATGCCAAGACTAAGAATCGGCCCCACCTTCCTTCCACCAGGGGCCTGGCCTTGCCTGCTTGTGTGGAGCAGCAGGAGGACGGCGGCGGGATTGAGGGTCTGGCAGACAGTGAAGAGCAGACACCAACTGCAAAGGGGGAAAAGGCGGGTCCCCGGGGTCCAGAGGAGAGGACTTGGGCTTTAACAGCCCAGATCTAGGTTGGAATCCCAGGTGTGTGTTCTTGGGTGCCTCGTCCTCCTCTCACAGCCTGTTTCTGCATCTGTGAAATGGACTTGTGGGGCAATGGTGAGGGTTCAAGATACAGCCAATAAAGAACCTGGCATGAAGTAGACCTATAAGGAAAAAGCAGATGTTATTATCTCTGAGGCCTTTCAAGGTCCCACTATGGAAAATTAGCAGGTGTGGACATGTGACCTTGAAGCCAAAGAAGGTTGCCGTTTGGGGCAGGGTTGCCATAGTGACACCTTATGCTGAGGGGTGGGAGGGGGGTGGTGGCAGCAACTTCCCCCGACACAGGCCAGCGGGAGTGAGAACATCTGGGAGGGCCTGGCCTCCAGGGTGTCCAGAGGGAGGGAGGATCCCTGGACATAGTGTGGCAAGATCTGGGCATTGACTCTAGACGAGGTCGGGATCCACTGATCCACTGATCCACTGAGACCCTACCATCTATGAAGGTCCCCTGTGGCAGTGCCCTGAAGCCAAGGCAGGGACCTTTTGTTTTTGGTGTGTGCTCTACCTAACCCTGTG